CCACATGTCTCATATACTACCATGTGGTACTATATATACTATTTTATTATTTTAAATATGTTCATATACTATATCTAAGATATTTCAAAGCAAGTTAAATGAAAAAATTGCATATGAGCCCATAGTTTTTGTTATATTTGTAAAATACATACATATTTGTACGTAAAAATGAGCATACTCAAACATCTATATATATATATATATATATATATATATATATATATATATATAGAGAGAGAGAGAGAGAGAGAGAGAGAGACCTTAGGATTGACCACACTCAAATGCATTGAGTTTGTGTTAGCATTGAGGCCAATGTCAACGAGGATGGGAAGGAGGATATGCGGCAACACAGATGGGATGCACTGAGACCTATTTGGGGTATTCAGTCATGGTTATTGTGTATTGTGTTAGAGACGTGTGGTATTTTTTTCGCTCGTTGCAACGTATGGGCTCTTTTGTTAGTATATTTTATATTATTAGCATGTGTATTATTTTCTCAAACCTTTCCATATAAAATAATTAGTTGCATGTGTATTTTTTCTCAAAACCTTTCATAACAAATACTTAGTTGCATGGGTATTCTTTTTTATTTCTCTTATTTTTTCATTGCGAAAATTTTCCGCTTGCACAATTTTTTTTGGTGATGGCACTAGCTAGTTGTACATGCATCAACATGCGTCATTAGGAGAACATCGACCACATCATTTATGATGTTAATTTACTACATGCATACAACTTGGCAAAAAAAAATCTCACACAAGCATGACAATAATAATTAAAACACCATGACAAATATTAATATGCATTTGCCGTGGCAACTTTTTTTGTGTGTTTTGACATGCATGGCAAGTTTTTTTTAACAATTATCATACATAACATTACATTTTGTACATGGCAATTTATATTTTCTTGGCACGGAAAATTTACCGATATTACCATGGAAATTTTACTTCAGCATACATGGCAAATTTAATTTTAAACACACATGGCATATTTTTTTACTTTTCATTTTTGACACGGCATTTTTACTTTTATGAACAATGGCAAATTTAGTTTATACAACATGATGAGTTTTCACTGTTTCTAGGACCATGGCACGTTTCATTGCTTTTCAACCATGGTACAATTTTCTTTTGAATTGTCCCATGGAAAATTTACCTTCATTTTACCAATGTAAATTTACTTCAACATACATTGCAAGTCTCATTTAAGCGCTCATGGCAAATGTTATTTCTATATTTCCATGGCAATTTTATTTTTGTGGACATTGGCAAATTTAGCATACATCCATGGAAAATCTGAGTTATTAAGGGAATTTTATGCCTTCATGGGACCATGGTAAATTTACTTATCAAAACACAACATTTTTTTTATCAAAACACAACAATTGCTACTTAACAACAATTTTTTACACTTTTTGTGTTCTACATGTAAAGCAATTTTTAACCCCCATTTTTTGTCTTCACTTACATACTAAAAAAGACCTTGTAATTTTAGTCGATTTTTTTTGGCACCATGTATGTACAGATGGAAATTGCCATGACTTTTTCCTTTTGGATCATTGCAAAAAAATCATTTTACTAATTGCAATTTTCTAGTTTAGAAGTTGATGGCATTTTATTTCTAAGCACAACAAAAATTGGGCTTTTATTTGTCATAGAAAATGATCTATGGTTTTCTTTTCATTTAACTACTGGGCTTTTCCATTTTGTTTTTACAGGGAAAAGTCCTGTAGGGCCGTTGAGGGTGCGTTCGGGCTGTGGGGGTTTTCCTATCGAACGAAATCATTTGTCAGGGAGAAATGATCATACGGAACGATTCATTTGTTCTGGCCCCTCCCCAGACCAAACGTTTGGTCAATATTGGCATCCTATCTTTTCGGAACATCCACACCTGGCTTCCACATAGTTTCTTTTATTGGAATGGTTTCCAGTAAATAATCCCATCACGATCAAAAGCATATGTGACATATTTGTGTCGAACTTACTTGCAGAAAAAAAGTACTTCTCTCTCCATCTCGAATTATTTGTCTTGCATTTGTCTAGATACAGTTGTATTTAGACATGATTTAGTGTTAGATACGTCCGTATCTAGACAAATCTAAGATAAGTAATTTAGGACAAATGTAATACTACTTAACATCGCTTCCATTGATTTAATCGTATCACTAAACATATTTATTTTTAGATGAAAACATATACACACATACATTGATTTCCAGGGATATATATTGCACACTTTAGCAAGTATTTAAGCTATTGGCGATCTTGACCAGAGCATCACAGAGTTCCCTAGGCCTCGAGCTCATGATGGCGTGGTCAGCTCCGGCGATCTCCTCGACCTCCGTGCCAGGGCTCAACATCACCATCCAACGCTGCATCTCCTCGGTGCTGGATCCATCAGCCTTGGCTACCACGTATACCTTCTTGACCGACCCGTAGTTGTCATCGGTGAGTAGGCTTGCGTTCTTCATCGCCGGATCCTCCATGAACAGATTTCCTGGCCTCACCAACATTTTTGCCAGGGCCAAATCCTGCATCAACATTGTGAATTGAATCACATAATGGGTCTACTAAAAGTGGATAAGGCGAAGAGTTAATTAATTTAGCATATTTCTTTTTGCGAATATTTTGGAGAATCATGTTGTTGAGATTAGTTCATTATGGGAGATGAACTGGATGTTTTTTAGACAACAATAGGATGTTTTTTTAGACAACAATAGGATGTTAAATCGTGTTATGCACCTCAGGTGAACTTTGCTGGTAGTTCTTGTGTGCTAAGAAGTCTGGGCCCATTATCATTGCAACCCCCGCACCCTGGTTGTTATTGATTGGCAGCATCTTGCAGTCGATGAGTCCTTCGGATGATTTTCTTCGCATGAACTAATTGCATCAACACAATATAAGATAAAATTAGCATTAATATTGGAGTTACAGAGTCGGAGACCAACCTTTTATATTACAACAAAAAATGGTTCATATAACCTCCTTAAAACATTTATAATTTGATTACCTTACTGTTATCAGTACTCATTCCGTTCCGAATTAGCAGTCTTAGATTTGTCTAGATACAGATGTATCTCAACGTGTTTAGATACATCTGTATCTAGACAAATCTAAAATAACTAATTTGGAACGGAAGTAATATTAGATACTTGAAAAACATGTACGTATTTATTTTGGAATATACTCCCTCCGATTCATATTAGCTATCTTAAATTTGTCTAGATACGGATATATCTAGACACGTTTTAGATGTATCTAGACACGTTTTAGTGTTATATACACATCTGTATCCGAAATAATCTAAGATAACTAATCTACGGAGGTAATATTCTTGTAGTGTTGTAATTTTATTGACTATTCCATCGGGTCCTAAATATAAGTCTTTTAAAAGATTCAATATGAACTACTCCCTCCGCTCCAAAATAGATGACCCAGTACAAAGTTTGATCATCTATTTTGGAACGGAGAGAATACATACGGATGTATATAGATGTAGTTTATAGTATAGATTCACTCATTTTACTCCATGTCTAATTTATATTGAAATCTCTAAAAAGCTTATATTTAGGAGCGGAGGGAGTATTATATAATATGCACATGAGATACTTGTTGTTAAAGTTATACTGAAAATATATCAAATTTTGTATATTCGACTAAGACGAGCTATCCGGCCGGCCTCACCGACATAGGGAACTGATACATATATTGGATCTTTTGGTCAACACTCAACAGAGATTCTTTGCAAAAAAAAAGGAGATCAGAGGAAAAACACACTTAACAGTGAATAAGAAAAAGAAAACCATAAACAATTGACATACCTCCTCGGTGGTGATGCCCATGTGCTTGCCAACACACGGCATCCCGGCGGCTGCGAACACGGCGGCGGCGACCTTGCCGGGGAACCTCTCCATGGCTAGTGCCAAGCTGAGCCCGCCATGGCTGTGCCCGACCAGAATCAGCCTCTCGCCGTCACCCTCCGGCGCCGCGGCCAGCACGTCGAGCAGCGGCCGCGAGTACTCCTCGAACGAGTGCACCTCGTCGACGCGCGCCGGGTGGGCGCCGGAAGCGGCGAGGTCGACTGCCGTGACGCGGTGCCCCGCTGCCTCAAGCGCCGCGACCACCTTGTACCAGCACCACGCGCCGTGGCAGAGGCCGTGCACCAGGATGAAATGGTTCCTCACGCTGTTGCTGCTGTTGCTCTGAGTGCTCTTCATTTCCTGTGTAAAATTTGTTTTGTTTTGTGTTGGATGTTTGTGGCCGCGCACACGGCTTGATATTTATATTGCACATTGGCGTTGATCGCACGCTTATCAATTATCACTATCAGCTTGTAATACAAGAAAAATGTGACGACCTGTTTTTGGATGTTCGTGCCCCGCCTCCTCCTTCCTCCACAAAAAAGTTAGGGGTTCTGCCTCCCGCCGCCGCCGCCGCAGGTCCGCCTCCTCTCCGGTGGCCCTAGGGCTATGGGGGCGCGGTGGATCTCGGCAAGGACCGGCGGGAGGGCTCCGTTTTTAGTCGTTTCTTTCAGTTTTGCTTGGGTTTGTGTCCTGATCAGGAAGACGAGACGGCGGCGGCTCCCTGAAGATGGAATAAAGGTCTTCCCGCCTAGTCCCCGTTCCGGCGGTGCGTCTAGCACCGTTGGTGGGCGTGTGGAGGTGTGTCTCCGGCGGATCTATCTTTGGTGGATTTGCTCGGATCTCGTCGTTGTAAGTCTATGTTCGTGTGTCTTCGGATTGGATCTTTCTGATCTACGTGCTGGTGATCTATGGATCTGGATCTACGTGCACACGGCGATGGAGGGGCGTTGACGGCGGCGCGCCTTCGGCTCGCTTCAGTGCTGGTAGTCGTCGCTAGGTGATCTATGGATCTGGATGTAATTTTTATTATTTTTGGTATTCGTTGTACTGCCATGATTGAAGATGAATAGATCGAAAATTTTCTCGCAAAAAAAAAAAAAGAAAACAATTATATATTCAGGATCTAGTACTAAATTGCACCAGATCAACTTGATCAGCAAGATAGGTAGACGGGCCACCAGAGTTGGACTGGTGGTGACGCAACGCAGATATAAACACTATTGAAAATTGGTAAACGTTTGTAGGCGGCCGAGCCTGCGTCGTTGGATAGTTAGCGATCGTTGCGTCCGTGCTACACTACACCACCTCATCCCCACGCCCAGCTAGCCACGTATCAGCCCATGCGTCCCTTCTTTCTCGTTCCTTATCTCGAACGAAGACTAGTGGCACCTCGTTTTCTTCTCTTCCCACCTCCCCGCACGGTGTCTAATCTTGACTCCCCAAACATTCTCTTTTGAGCCGCCGCCGTCGTTTTTGAAGGCACGACCGGCCGTCCTGCTGTTAACCTGCCACCGCCGCACAAGCAGAGGGGCCGCACGACTGCTGGTACTCGACCACCGCCGCGGCGCCGCCCAAGCAGATGATGCTGGACCGGTGCCCTGCGAGCTGCGCACATGTTGGAAATATGAGCAACTTATCATATAATTTTATTAACGAAAATAATAGATAAAGCATAACTAAAATAGCAGAGATAAAGCAAGTCATGCGATCTGACAGAAAGAAGGTAAATAACATCTGCAAATATGAACTAGAACCAAACATCTCTAGAGCAGACAGTAGATTAAGTTGCATATATGAAGTAGAGCCTAACATGTCTAGGGCAAACACTAGAACAAGGAACTGCAGTAGGACCTCTAACAGGAAAAACAAGAACACGTACGGGACAGCAGCAGGAGCAGATGCACTGGACTTGGGGTCGACATCCTTTGTAGACATGTCGTCGAAGAGGTTCTCGACGTCGGGGAAGAAGTTGTCATTGGGGAAGTGGTCGTCGGTGTCCGTGATGAATAGGTCAGTAGTCGCGCAGAGCGCTCCCCAAAAACCTTATCACCCTTCTCCCGTACAGGACTCAAAGAGGTGCGGTTTCGGAGGCCGACTGTCCCGGCCTGCGGTGCATGCCGCAAGCCGGGATGAGGAAGATCATACCAGCAGCGCAGTGTTCAGGAATCGGTGACGAGAGGAAGAAGTAGTTCTGGTGCGTCTCTGTGAGAGGAGCGACCTCCCTTTTATATGCGCAAGAGAAGGAGGTGAGAGGGCAGCGACGGGAGGCGAAACGAAGAGACGGAGAAGAAGCGAACAACCAGCAACCGAAGGGCTGCACCTTTCGCATTCGAACTCCACTTTCGCATGCGAGGGACTGGTTAATTTACATAATTTTTTTCGCACTGTTTCTTTCAAGATCGACCAGAGGTTCGTGGGTGCATAGCTTG